TGAGGCTCAGCTGAAACAAAGCTCATCTTGGCTCTGGAGATCATGGTGGAAAGTGAGATTGTTGTTGCAAGAAGGGCTGCAGGTGGAGATAAGAGAAGTTGTTGAGGAGGAGGATTGGGTTGATATCCTTAGAATTTAGACACTTGACACCTAGCTAGAAGATAAATGGGATTAGAGGATGGAAAAACAAGGAAGATTCTCAGTGGCATCTTCTTATGCTTTTATCCACCAGAGGAAGCTACTAGCTCTTGATATTGTAGATGGGAGCAACACAGTTGAGAGAAATAAACATGTAAGACTAAGAAGCTAGAGAATCATAGTTAAAGATAAAATAAAACACTTCATGTGGAATGTGGTTTTTTGGATCCTTACATGTAAATGTTAATGTGAGAAGTAGGGAGATGTCATTTGTAGATTGTGTGGTGCTGAAAATCTTCCCCGCAAACTAATATTTTTAGGACTTCGATTAGTGACACGGGGAATAACTACATACAATTGGCCGTGACTGAACACCGGCTTCTTCAAGAACATGTCAACATGTGACAAAGACTGACCATGCTCTTGTTAGACGTCATGTTATAAGAACTCATTAGGGAAAAGTGGCTCTGCAGAAATTTAAAAAGTACTCTAATGTTTAGATTCATGTTATAAGATGCGCGAGACATCGTTTGTTCTTCTATCGTTGAGTTTTGACGCGTCCACAGAGTGATCCCCTCTAGATTTCATTCAATCGTTCCTTGAGGAGTTTTCTGATGTTTTTTTGGGGTGAGCTACCGTCCGGTTTACCACCTCTCTGCGACATATAGCACCATATCGATTTTTCTCTAGGGGCTTCTCTTCTGCACCACCCACATTATCGTATGAGTTCGGCCGAGATGCCAGGTAGACGAGTTTGTAGCGGGGCATTGTTTGACATAGCCTCAGCCCGTGCATAGTCTAGACTTTGTTAATTTCAAAGAATGATTGCTCCGAACAGTTGTGCGTGGATAGAAGGTCATCAACAAGATCACCGTTTGTTACCGCTTTTCCATTCCACGTTTGGACGACTGTTGGATCAACTGCATGGCTCTTCCATATTCACTAAATTGGATCTCTGCAGTGGTTATCATTTGATCCGCATCTGCCCGGGTGATGAGTGGAAAACTGCCTTCAAGATCCGAGAGGGCCAATTAGAGTGGCTGGTGATGTCGTTTGGGCTGTCCAATGCACCGACCACGTTTACGACCACGTTCATGCATGTTTGGCATCAAGCACTATGCGACATCATTAGTAAGTGGGTCATCATTTTTTTTCAATGACATACTTACCTACAATCGGTCCATGGAGGAGCTTTTGGATCATGTGCGTTCGTTTTTCTTATTTTGTGCGTGGAGTCTTTCTATGTGGTGTTGCGAAAGTGATTCTTCTTAGTTGATTCTTTTCTTTTCCTGGTTTTTGTTATTTCGACGGACGGTATTCGCGTAGATGATAACAAAGTGGTTGAGATTTGGACTAGCCTATGCCGTCTTCTTTCACTAAGGCTCAGAGTTCTCACGACCTCACTTTTTTTTATAGACGCTTTATCTCTGACTTTAGCTCTATCACGATTCCTATCAATGATTGCCTCTCGGGCAAGACGTTTATTTCGACTCCACAAGTCGCTAAGGTATTTGCACTCACTAAGAGCAATCTCTCACCCGCTCTGTCCCTCGTGTTACCCAATTTTTTGCAACCTTTTGAGCTCTCCAGTGACGCCTCAAAGGTCCGCATCGGGGCATTATTGAGCCAAAAAGCGCGATCTATTGCGTTTTCAGTGAGAAGCTCTCTGAACTGCACTGTGCTACAACACTTATGACATTGAGTTCTACGCGGTTTATCGTGTTGTGTGCTATTGGTGTTAGTATCTCTTCTAGCGAGATTTTGTTTTGTACACAGATCACGAGGCTTTGTGTCACATTACTTTCCAAGACAACATCTCTGTCTATCATGCTACTTGGACGCCATACTTGCAGCGGTTTATGTTTATCTTGAAGCACCATTCGGTGGCTTCTAATCTCTTCATTGATGCAGTTAGTCGTCGTTCCACGTTGTTATCTGATATGCAGATTTTGGTAGTTCGCTTCAACTTTTTATGTGGCCTCTATGCGATCGATCATTTTTTTGGACCGATTGTTGCCCGCCTCGCGACTGGTCATTTTGAGGATTATGTTTTGTCCAATGGCTTTTTTTTCTAGGGTGTGCGCTTGTGTCTTCCTGACTGCAGTCTTTGACTAAAATTGGTGGTCGACCTACATGGAACCGGTCACGCGGTTCGCGACCATTCTGTCGAGCTGGTTCAATGTTCATTTTTTCTAGCCTTCTTTGCATCGTGATGTGTCACACTTTGTGGAGCGATGTTGGATCTGCAATAATGGCGAAATGAACTTCTCAGTGTCGAGCCTCCGATGCCTAAGTCAGCACTTGCTAGAGATAAAGTGCAATATGAGAGTATTGTAGTGAATGTAGACAATGTGTAATGTCTAAATGAAGCTATCCCACTTATATTTGTAGGAGTGGGCTACTGTTGTCTCAGTTGCCATAAAACTCGTCCTTATCTTTTTGTTTTCTTAGACGGTCTACTCGTAAGACGAAACCCTTATTACTGTGAGGTTGATTATCTTCTTAAATAGGTTCTTAAACTCTATTCTATAGGTCAAATGATTGACCTTATCCTCTTCTCAAGAATATTCGATATGCCAGCAAATTGGCCTTGTACGACCGATTTCTCAGGTAAAATCGATCTAGTATGATATTCCACATCATGCCAGGTGTCAAAAAAGGTGGCCACGAAGGCCGAGCTTTATCGACCGTTGGCGATTCTTGCTCAACCATGGAGTGCGATCAGCATGGACCTCATGTTGGGTTTGCCACGGGCGCTGCAGGGCCATGATTCCATCTTCGTTGTTGTTCACCTCTTTTCGAAGATGGTGCATTTTATTCCCTGCAAGCGGACCACTAATGTTGTGCATCTGGCTCAGTTGTTCTTCCAGGAGATATATCGCTTACATGGCCTTCCGTCCTCCATTGTTTCTGATCGGGACACGTGGTTTCTTAGCTACTTCTAGAGGAGTTTATGGTATCTCCCGAATACGCGGCTGGAATATAGTAGCGCTTACCATCCTCTGACTAATGGTTAGACAGAGGTCGTTAATCGATCTCTCAAGAATTTGTTGTGGTGCTTGATGGGCAAGAACTTGCGAAGCTTGGATGCTCAGCTTAACCAAGATGAGTTTTCGGTCGAGCCACGAGATTCGCTCATTTCTAGGTAGTATACGCGGTTCGGCCTCGTGGTCCTGCGGACTTGTTCGCTTTGCATTCCACGGAGCCGTCTGATTATCGTGCTGAGGATTTTATTGCTGATTTGCATCGAACGCATTATTCGACTCATGCCCGCCTTGAGGAGGTTACCGTCGCTTGTAAGCGACGTGTGGCTGTTTATCTCCGGCAGATTGAGTTTGACGTTGACGACTTTGTGTGGGCTGTGTTGACCAAGGACTGCTTCTCGGCTCACTAGTTTAATAAGTTGTCTGCTCGCAAGATGGACCTGTCAAGATCTTTGAGAAGATAAATCCTAATACCTATCGCCTACGTCTTCCGTCGCACATTCGCATGTCTAACGTTTTCAACATCAAGCACCTCGTTCCTTACCATTGCGACAACTCGAATGAAGACGAGATCGGTTCGGGTTCGAAGGTAAATCCTTCTGAACCAACAGAGGATGATGGAGACGAGATCGCGTTCGCATATCTACAGAAATATGATCATCTCCATGTTTTGCATATATATTTCTTCCATAGTTGTTTATTTTATTTTCCTATTATGGCTTTATTTAATTAGTAGGAGAATAATTATTTTTGTTTCTTGTCTAGAAAGGTAGATAATTAGCTAGACTAAGACTATGTATTTGTTGTTTTCCTTTTTAAGCCGATGGGCTTCTTTGAAATAAATCAGATTTCTCTTGAGTTTTTATTCTTATTCCCATTGTACGCTTGTGCCTACATTTTCTTTGAAATAAATCAAATTTCTCTTCAGTTTTTACTCTTATTCCCATCGTACGCTTGTGCCTACATCATCGTGTTTGGTTCGCTTATTTTCACGACCCTACTGAACAGACAACTAGACCAATCTTTAATCCATTTGAAGTTGATTCGAATAGTTCCCAAACATCCATTTTCATTTACATCCCTAGTGAAATCTACGTAGCTTAACAAATTCATTCCATTTATTTATTTTATTTTATTTTATTTTTCTTTTTTGCCAAGACTTCTGTTTTAAAGAATATATTGTTTACATAATCAAACGAAGTCTGCTTTTCCACAGAAATTATCTGCGCGACAAGAAAAGCCTATAGCTGCAATGGAGTAAAGTTGATGGATACTTACGAAAACTATTTAGGGTTATGCTTCAATACAAAACCTTATCACCTTGTACACTTGTGCTTTTGCTTATAATATGCCACTACAGGTTTGCAACTCTTGGAACATAAACACATCCCACTGAGCTATGTTGGGAAATAACATAGTCTTCTCATAATAAAGATAAATTTCATGGAAATGTCTGTAAGTAAACCGAAACTAAACAAACGAAAACAAACAAAAAGGCCACAAGTTAAATTAGTAATTAGCTCCAAGTTCATATAGAAGAGATAAAAGAAGTAAAGAACAACTTGCACACCACCAAAAAGGCTCCATAGCAGTGTGTGAAGCAAACAAATCCCTCGAAATCAAACATTGTTAACTCATTCACTCAAGATCATTCAACATCATAATAGAAAACCAGAATCGCAAATTTCGACATAACCTATTACACAACCTCACGTCAAGAACACGACTCGTACAATAAACCAAATAAATGGAACAACAAGAATACTTCACATCTACACACGATAAAAATGTGTACTCCTAATGCCGCCTACTTCAACTATAGGCATCTTATAAGCAATCAAACAAAATAAATCCTTCAACCAATCACCTTCCATAAACCTAATCCACCTTCTTCTCCGCACCCTTGTTGTACTCCTCCAGCTCACTCAACCACAAATCCCCAAACTCACAATCCTTCCACTGCTCGAACCACGGCCCACCCAGTGTGTAATGTATGGCCCTCGGGTACGTGTTCTTATCCCCATCAACAACCTTATTGTGGCCCACTAGAAAATTCCACACAAAGGGAATTTCCCCAATCTCACCATCCTCGAGCCATTGAAACCTATGCAAAAATGCCCCACTCTCCTTATTCACAACCTCAGGCGTCAACACACGATTTTTCGCGTGCCCACAGTTGTACAAAACCATGGATGACCAATTCTTCCTAGGGTACACAGTCTGAACGGCCCCGTCCATTTTTGTAGTCTCTTTAGGCGTGTAATCGTGCTGCACACACATCACAGCGTATTTCTCGTCGATTAAATCGACTAATTCCTTGATGTCGTTCAGGTAGAGGAAATCGCAGTCCACGAACATGGCCCAGCCCTCGTAATTAGCTAAGCAAGGGGTTAGAAAACGGGAGAAGGAAAACTCAGTGCTCTCCAGTTTCCCCCTCTCACGCCAGTAAAGGCCCTTATCGCGCAATTCCTGTTGTTTGATCGGGATAATCTCAATTGGAACCGAAGATCTTTTAAGTAGGGAATGGCGACAAACCTCGTAGGCCAGATCCTCGCGCGGGTCATAGCCTATGAAGATCTTGAACGGCGTCGCATTGCGTTTGCCGGCGCCGGCAGCGGGGGTCTCGGGATCGCGATCTGGGGTTAGCACGTGGACGCCGTTTGAGCGGTGCGGTTCCATGGATTCCGGCTGAAAATCACAAATCTGTATAGAGATTTCGAAAGCGCAAGAAATTAATTCAAAGAAAAGGAGCTAAATCATGAATTGAATTGATGTAAGAATGTACCACCTAAAATGCAGTAGATCTGGAATGGAGAAAGAAAAGGAAGAGAGACAAAAAAAAAAGAAAAAGAAAACAAATGCTTACTCGATCTGAAGAAAAGATGTCAAGATTTGTCCCTGAATTTTGGATCGCAGATATTTTTGGAGTAAGAAATTTAGGCGGAAGAAAAGTGCGAGTATATATATATATATATAAGAGAGCTGCTTTATTCACCACAAAGCTTGTCGGTGGCGGTGCAGCGGGTATTGTGCGGGTCTTTCTCTGTGGGTAGTAATTGATGGATTTAAACGGATTGGAGGCAAACAATAACATCGATCAGAAACTCAACACAGTTTTCTTAAGGTGATACTATTTTTACTAGTTTTCAACACAGTGCATTTCAAATTTAAATAAAAGTATATATTATAATTTTTTTGTATGCATGTAATATTAAAATTATAAGTTCAATAACAATATTATATTTCAAACATATAATATTATAAGTTATATTTATGCATATAATAATAAAATTATAAATTAGATAATAGAATTATATTTTAAAATTTGATAATTGGGTGTAATAATGAGTACATACGATTTAATTGCATACAAATCACTATATTTATTGCATAAAATGTAATAAAAATATAACTTTGTAATTTGGAGAAAAATATAATTTTAGTAATTTTGAGTGATCATAACCAATTAATTAGCTGAAAATATTTATATTTATTATAGAAATTGCTTATGTGATTTTGAGAAATTTTGCTATGACATAAAAAATAATTATTTAAATAACAATCCCTTAATCATATAAGAAATATAATATTGATTTTAGTGTAACATATAATTTTATGTAATTTTTATAATCATTTAATATAAAATATAATTACTAATTTTAATATTAATTATTATATGATTCAATAAAAACTATTATATGATTCAATAAAAAATAAATTACTCAATAAATAAAAATGTATAATAGTTTTTGTCTTAATTAACTTAAAAAGTGTAATGACATATTTTATTATTAATGAGATAGGGCGTATTATTCTCCTGTGGGGAGCGTTCGTAGTTGATGTGTCGGTGTCTTTTTGTTGTGTGTAGTGTTTGTAGCGTGTCCTCTATTCTAGCGTGGGTAGCGAGGTTCTAGGCGGTCTTTCGATCCGTCCTCTCAGTTTTTAGTTCATGGTTGTATTATTCAGCCTTGGGCTGCTTGTTTTGCACAGTTGTGCGTTTTGATTTATAATACCTCTATCGTTTCGATAAAAAAAAAAAAAGATAGGGCGTATTAATGTCATATAAGTAAGATTTATTAGGTTTTATTTAATTATTTGCCACATAGGTAAAATTTAATAGGTTTATTTATTAGGTAAAATTTATTGCTAAACTAGAAATTATATATACTAGTTTTGCCTCGTGCATTTGCACGAAAAATAATATAATAGAAGAAAAAATAATTAAAAATATAGAATAAAATAAAAAAATCATAACTTAATGATTGAGAAAAAATTATTTAAAAAAATTAATCTAAATATTATTGAACACATCTTTATATAAGACAATCGTAATTTTATTATCGTCAGAATCCTCATAACAACAAATCCTTATCATTAACTTTTTTCGACTCGTACTCTATAATTTGATTTTCAAAATATTTAATATATTTTTGTAATATCTGAAATAATATTTTTTTTATTATTGTATGAATGTAATAAAAAATAGGGATATTTGTAGTCATTTTAAATTAGTTGTGAAATGTGTATTTATATAATACCAAAAAAATATATAGTATCAAAATAAAAACAAAGATATTTTGTATTTCATGACATAAAAATGCGTTACAGAAATGGGGACAATCCAAAATGTGACATGTCATAATAAATTGTGTAACTAAAAGTTACATATTATTATTAAATGGTGAACATATTTTTATTAAATTCAACATATTTTTATTAAATGGCCTAATATTATTATTAATTGAGTTTGAATAAAATTAAATGATGCTTGCCCTAATTATATATATATTGATATGGGATATTATATACTCGACCGGTTCGTCGGTTAGTCGGACAAAATAGATCAGCGGTCTGGTCGAACCGGACTTGACATGTGCGACCAAGGTAAGAAATAGAAGATAAAGAAGGGCTGGTTCAGTGGTGTCGGGCAAATACCTGCTTCACTGGACTCTGGTCGAGGAGAGCTCTGGTCGAGCAGCGGGATTAAGGGTCGACCACCTCATACCTCAGGGACAGCTCAACATCCTCTACAGATTTGGTCGAGCATCGGAATATATATACAAGAGAATCTCCAGCACGTGAAAGGAGGACACGTGGCGCTCTACTAGTGTCCAGGGCGATAACGGTTTCTAACATTCCCTGACACACTGACGCGTTTCTGACACCAGGATAGTGGAGACGCGCGATTGTACGGACGAGCAGAAGAGCTATTAGCTGGACTCGCCCAAGTCGCGTGTGGAGAACAGGTAACCCGTCCCTATAAATAGGAGCGAGAACTCTGATTTTAACACAATCTGACGCGTTTCTGACACCAGGATAGTGGAGACGCGCGATTGTACGGACGAGCAGAAGAGCTATTAGCTGGACTCGCCCAAGTCGCGTGTAAAGAACAGGTAACTCGTCCCTATAAATAGGAGCGAGAACTCTGATTTTAACACAATCTCTCATACTTTTACATACTTACACATACATTCTTAATCTTCTCAAGATCTGAATTGAGCGTTGGAGGCTCTTCACCGGAAAAAACCTCCGGTGTGAGAGTTACGTGCAGGTTCGACGTTCTACCGGCAAGAAAGGTAAGCTCGAAGCGGTTCTCAGCCGGTTGGGAGTTAGACTTGTATTATTGGCGCCGTCTGTGGGACTTCTGTTCGAAATGTTGTGTTGCAAGCTCAACCATGGCGG